CGCACCGCATGATTAGAGTTTTATATTTTGACAAAAAAATACTTTTGTGCATGTTTTCTCAACTATCCAAAAAATAAAAAACTATGTGGAAAAAGAACTATAGATCTCTTATGACATAGCAGTGAGAATAATTTAGAAGTTTAGGAAACAAGGTACAGAAAAATAAAAAACTATGTGGAAAAAGAACTATAGATCTTTTATGACATAGCAGTGAGAATAATTTAGAAGTTTAGGAAACAAGGTACAAAAAAATCAGAACATAGTGACATAATACAAACTCAAAGGATGAAATATGCAAATTCATTATTCTTAGAATTATTTTTGGTAAAAGATATAGATTACGTTGTTGGCTTGTTTTCTCCTAAAATTGAAAAGGTATTTGTTACACGGCTTACGCCAGCATATCAAGCATATGCCCACACACCCTCCTTTTCTAGGAACTGGGTGATGACAGCATGCCCACCTCCTCAGCAGGGGCAACGTTATGTTCAAGCTTTGTGTGCAGTNTTGGAGCTCCCATAGATGTCTTAGATCGAATTTTTTTAGCTTTGGTTAGCTTGTTAAGAAAGCTATGCGATAACCTCCCCACGAACTGATGGTGCTAACTATTTAAAGGCCCAACATATACAGTTAAAAACCCAACATATATAACTGAGCTACCAGTTAGGTCCCTATGTACAATTAAAGCCCAGATGTCCCCTGTTAGACTTAGTGTAATTTAGTTATGGATTAATGAGTATAGACCCATTTTTAATTGCTATCTGGTTGTATGTGTGTGTATATATATCTTCATCTCATCAATAAGAAGATATTTGAGTATTTCATAACATGGTTTCAGAACACTTGTTATGAAATACAATTCAATCTCAACCCTCCATCAAAAAATCAACTAAATCTCCACATTTCTTTTAAAAATAAATCCTAACCCATTAACAAAAAACCCTAGCCGCCTGACCAGAACCACCCACCATTCCTGACCCCTACAGGCAGTCCCATTGCCATTGATCGCTGCAGGTCTCTTAAATTAGTTGATCCTGGCAAGCACCCCCATTGTCGTCGTCGTCAATGGGTTGCCCCATCAGCGCCACAATCGCCTTGACCTCTGCTACCCTCGTTGAAATCTGCTTCTACCTCTACCCAAATCTGCTTCTACCTCTACCCACGTCGACCTCTGCTTCCCTCGTCGACATCTACTCGAACTTATCAGATCATTGATTCCTGATTCTTTCGTGAACTTCTGCCATCACCACTTGTCGATATTTGTTGCTCTCTACTCCTGGTGATGATGATCATTTTTATTCGCTCTAGTGATCAATCATTGCAATCCACTGCTATATCATCTTCACTATTTACTTCTCAATTCCCTGCTGATTTTTTTGTTCTACTAGTGCTATGACTTCCTCATCAACTACTGAAAATATGACCTCGACTATGAGTACTACTTCTACGATGAACAATGTACTCCATAGAGCTTCGACAACTACTACTATGAAGCTCACTGGAGACAACTACTAGCTATGGGCTCAAGTCTTTTGTGTGTTTGTTGGTGCTCAGAAGAAGTTAAATTTCCTTGAGGATCCTACAAATGAGAGGGACCCTGCCTACTTTAACTGGTTAGTTAGTAACTATTGTGTGATCACATGGTTGCTCACTATGAATAAGAAGGTGAGCTCCGGCGTCACCCTCTTGAAGACGGCTAAGAATATTTGGTTCACCCTGAGAGAGGTGTATAGCAATGAAAAGAATCTCTCCTAATTTTTTTCTTTATATGAGCAGTTTTTTACTATCCGATAGGGCGAGAGATCTGTACCTGAGTATTTTCTCTACCCTCAAAAAGATTCTAGATGAGTTGAATGTTCACTTGCCTCTTGTGACCGACTTGAAGACTTCAAGAGAGTATTGCCAGGATCTTGTTGTGGCAAAGTTTCTTTCTGGATTGGATCCTGCACTGCTGAATCAAGTGAGGTGATAGATATTAGCTAGAGATATTAGTCCCTCACCGACCTCCACATACTTCAAGGTGCTATGTGTCTCAACTAGGTCCACACTATCAACCTCATTCCTAGTTACACTATCCCAACTACTATTGAGCAGTTTATCTTATACTTGAGTCACAGTCATGGCCAGGATGCAAACATAGTTGTGATTCAAGGAAAGGCTAAGGATCTTTTGGTGGCTGACAGAATGGAGATTGTAATCATCAGGATTGTACTCATTGTGGCAGAAATAACCATATTTCTGATAGGTGTTAGGTGAAGTTTGGGAAGCTGGAATAGGTACAAATGGCTATTGAGCAGTTTATCTTATACTATTGAGCAGTTTATCTTATACTTGAGTCACAGTCATGGCCAGGATGCAAACATAGTTGTGATTCAAGGAAAGGCTAAGGATCTTTTGGTGGCTGACAGAGTGGAGATTGTAATCATCAGGATTGTACTCATTGTGGCAGAAATAACCATATTTCTGATAGGTGTTAGGTGAAGTTTGGGAAGCTGGAATAGGTACAAATGGCTACTTCAGACACTTCTAGTGTTTCCACTCTTGTCCCTCCTCCTGTCACTGCTCCTACTCCAGCTACATCCTTGCCAATGGTCAAATTCAGGCTAGTTTTGACTGACTACTTCAGCTTTAGTCCTGTTAGACTAGTCATACAGCTGCTCATGCATCCTCTTCAGGTATGAACGATTACATTGCTTTGTCTAAAAGACCTTGGGTACTATATTCAGGAGCCTCGTTCCATATCATAAGTATAAATTTGATTCGTACAATTTTAAAATTAATTTTCTTCTGTTTTATTGCCGATAGGACTTTTTCACCTACTCTTGGTGATAGGACGGTTCATGCTATATCATCCTTTAACTCTTAAAATGTTCTTCACTTTCCTAAATTTTCTGTCAGTTCATTATCTATGAGCTGGCTTACCAAAAAATGATAACTTTTTAGTGATTTTTCCTTCTTATTGTAACTTTCAAGACCTTCAGACTGAGACAAGGATTGGTTCAGGTCATGAAAGAGGAGACATGTACTACTTAGACGATAGTGTGCTATTATCTGGTTTTGCTACAGTTTTTCTGATATTCCTCTATAGTAGCATCAACATCTGGGACATCCCTTCTTACAGAAGTTTTGTTCGGTATTTCCTATTAATTCCTTTGTTTTATCTCTCGAGTGCGAGTCGTATCAGTTAGGAAAGCATCATCATGCTTCCCACCCTAATAGAGTCAATAAGTGTAGTAGTTTTGCTTATAAATTAGTTCATTCTAATGTCTGGAATCCATATTGATTTCCTTCTGTGATAGCTTTTAGGTATTTTATTATTTTTTGGATGACTTCTCCTGTATGACTTGACCTTTATGTTCAAAGAGAGGTCAAGTTGCTAGTGTCATTTAGTTTTTTCATAATAAAATTAAAAACTAGTTTTCTACTTTCGTTCACGCACTTCGTACTGATAATGCTTTAGAATGCATGAGAAATGAAGTTTCTCAGTTTCGTGCCAATAATGGGATTATTCAACAAACCTCTTGTCCATGCATTTCACAACAATACGGTGTGGCTGAATGGAAGCATAGACATGTTTTAGATGTGATTCGGATTTTAATGATTCACATGCACGTCCCGAGGTATTTATTGTCTGACGTTGTTTTGTATGCATGTTATTTGATTAATACTATGCCCTCTTCGGTTCTTCATGGACAAATTCCTTTCTTGTCTCTTTATTGACAAAATCATGTTTGCCATGATTCCTTGAGTTTTTAGTTGTACATGTTTTATTTAAAATATGCATCTTTTCTGGATAAATTATCTCCTCGGTCTGTCAAGTGGATATTTATAGGATACTCTAGAATACAAAAGGGATATCGAAGTTATGATCTGACATCTCAAAAGTATTTCACTACTGCAAATGTCACTTTCTTTGAGTCTATTCTACATTTTTCCTTTGTGAGCACAAGTTCACCTCTTACCTTTGTTCCTTTCTCTCTACCAATACAGCCTGATTCTATTACCCTTATTCAGCCGGTGCTACGTTTTGGAGTTGACGACAAACTTGCATCAAATCCAAACCTATGTACACTAGAAGACCAAAAGTATATGCACCTTCCTTGCCTCTCCCTTGCCTCTGATCCTCCGTCTGCAGATGAAAGTCCTCCTACCAGTTAGCAATCATCTATTTCTCTGATCCTGATGTTTTTGTTGCCCCTCGAAAAGGTAAACGATCTACTACCGCTCACTCTATATCTCATTTTGTCTCTTATGATCATCTTACCTCCATCACTTCACCAATTTGATATGTCTCTATCTTCTGTATATATACCTATGTCTTATCACGAAGCCAAGTTAGTTTCTGCATGAAAGCAGGTTATGAATTAGGAAATTGATGCACTTGTTTCGAGAGGGACTTAGGGATGTAGTTCCTGCTCCTTAGGGGATAGATATTGTGGGTCCCAAGGTCTTCAATGTGAAATACCATCGCAATGGTTTCCTGGATAGATATAAAGTTTGACTGGTTGCTAAAAGCTTTACTCAGACTTAGGTATTGATTATTTCGAGACCTTCTCTCCTGCTGCTCGTCTCAACTCCATTCGTATCTTGTTCTTCATTGCTGTTAATATATAGTGGTCTATGTTTTAGCTAGATGTAAAAAATATCTTCTAAGATGGTGACCTCCAAGAAGATGTTTAAATGGAGCAACCTTCGGGGTATGTTGCTCAGGTGTCATGTGTGCAAACTTAAGAAGACAATCTATATACTCAAATGAAGTCCACGAGCTTGCTTGGTTCTACAAGTTCAACCAAGTGATATCTGGTGTTGGTTTTTAGCGGTGTCATTCAGATCATTTTGACAATGATCTTAGTTGTGTACGTTAATGATATTTTGTTAGCAGGGAGTGATACACATGGCTTGGAGGAAACCAAATAGTATCTAAAGCATCATTTTGTGGCCAAAGATACGGGAAAGCTGAAATGCTTTTTTAGGATTGTGGTTGCTTATCAGAAACAAGGGTTACTTCTCTCCCAAAGGAAGTATGCCTTAAATCTTTTAGAAGAGTGTGGTCTTTTGGGTTGCAAACTAACCGATACCTAATGGAAACAAATGTGGATTTTGGGATGAGAAAACTAATCTTTTTTTAGGACACCAAGCAATATAGGAGACTGATTGGGAAGTTGATCTATCTTATAGCCACTAGACTTGATAAATTATTTGTTACAGTACTTTTGAGTCAGTTCACGCACATACCTAGAGAGATTCACTAGAAAGCTGCTATCCAAGGAAGGGCTTGCTATACAAGAAACATGGATACTAGCAAATATATGCTTATTCAGACTTTCTATGCTGGAGATAATAGGGTTAGGAAGTCCACCATTGGGTATTGTACTTTTGTTGGTGGTAATCTAGTGACTTAGAGAAGTAAGAAGCATGAAGTGGTATCTCAGACTAGTGAAAAGGCAGAAAATAGAGCAATGGTGCAAACTACTTGTAAGATGACATGGTTGAAGAACTTAATGATAGAGCTCAGTTTTGTTTAGCCAAGACCGATTGTCATGCATTGTGATAATCACTCTACCAGCTATGCATTGTGATAATAAGACTACTATCTATATTGCAGAGAATCTTGTCTTTCATGGAAAGACAAGCACATAGCTATTGATTGCCATCTGATTAGGGGTGATATAATGAAATAAGTGATTTGCATTCTGTTTACTCCCTCTTCAGAATAGGTGGCAAATCTCTTACCAGCTTCTTCCAATGTGTTCTCTATTTTGTATAGCAAGCTGCTCATGATAAATATATCTATGTTGTAGCTTGAGGGGAAGAGTTAGATTTATGTAGTTCAGTTATGGCTAAATAGCATTTATATACCCTATTGTTTCACCTACTTTTCACTTATATACCCCAACTTGTATTTGGTAGCAAAAAAGATAGCTTAAATTTTTTTAAAAACTGGCACTTATAAATATCCTGAAGTTTTTAAAACTTGCACATAAATACCCTTAGTTATGCAATTTTGAGGGTATTTATGTGTAAGTTTTAAAAACTCTAGGGTATTTAAGTGCCAGATTTAGACACTTTAAGGTATTTAAATGCAAGCTTTAATAACTTTAGGGTATATAAGTGCTATTCAAAAAAAATGAGAGTATATAAAGCAAGTTTAAAAAACTCGAGGGTATTTTCTTGCTACCAAATACAAGTGGGAAATATATATATATATAAATGAAAAGTAGATGAAAACAATAGGGTATGTAAGTGCTATTTAGCCTTTTGTTATTTTATAAGCGGGTATAAACCCATTTTTAATTATTATCCTATTGTATCCATATATATTCCTCTCCTCTCATCAATAAGAGTCAATAAGAAGATATCTGAGCATTTCCCCAAAAATGCACACAAAACCAAAGATCAGTATTCTTTGACTAGCAAATATAAAAAAGGGGAAGGGGTGGGAAGGGGTGGAAAGGGGTTTCTTCGACTAGCAAACAGAAGAGAGAATTTATTGCAGTAAAAATGGTAACGAGTTATTTGTAGATACGCCCCCTATAATATCGCTCAATTACAAATAGACCCTTTATATTGTAGTTCAATTATGGCAAATAGACCCCTGATGGAATTTTTTTTGGCTCTTTTGCTCTCAGAAGAGGAGAATATTTTTTTAGTTTTGACAAATAGACCTCGTAAGGGTAAAAGAGTCAAAAAAATTCACTCAGAGGATCTACCCACAGTTCACCCATTTATAGTTCTTGGACATCATCACAACTTTGAATTATAGGATAAGAGAATTTAAAATACTAGTTTACTTTTATCTATCTTAACCCCCCCCCCCCCCCCCGCTAAAGAAAGGAAAAAAAGGTAAAATTTCTGGAGCAGATAGACATAATCAAGTACTGAATAAAGCAAACACTCATATCACCCATTCAGTTTGACTAGTACCTTCTTGCACCCATGAGCACCCATCACTTCTAACAGAGTTATGCTACCAATCAGGTTATTGTTATAATAAAGCAAGGGCTTCTCCACACTTTCACCGACAGCTTTCAGTCCAGCAAAATGAATGACAGCATCAAACCTGTCACAGAAAAATGACAGTAGGAACAATTAGTCTTTTTTTTTTAAAAAAAACTCGGTTTCTATAGGGGAACCAGAGGTTACTGAGCAGCATCAACACAACTCGTAGCACGTCCAATACTCGGAGGAATTTTGTTCTACCTTGTTGACAGGTATCATTAAAGATGTGTCATAACAATGATATGTAGCCCAAAACAAATGCATGTAATCCATAAAGCCCAATTATGTTTCTGTATAAATAATCAAGATATTTAACTCCTACACATAAAGAATCCAGATGGAGTTACCGCACATGATGCAAAGCACAAGTTAATATAGGTATCTAAGAGGTTTAAACTAGATATTGTTATGCTTTCAATCAATTAGGAGAAAGAACAGTAACATATACATTTTCAACGAACCATCCACCCATGTAAAATGCATTTGTATAAGGAAAAGGGTTTGAAGATGATACGGTGCTAAGATGTAATTCAATTCCTTCAATCTAGACAAATCTGTACTTGAATCTTGATTGATATATCTTGATTGACAATTCTGGACGTTCCCCTGAATGCAACTACCCGAACATTAGAAATATTGTACACTATATCACATAAATATGGAGACAAATGGATATCAAAGTCGTAAAACAACTCAAGACTACAGATACATCGGAGACAAGGAAATTTTATGTGCATGTATGCCTGCTCAGCAAAATAAGAACTAGGACAGGAAATGATATACCCCAAGACTCACACAGAAAACTATACAAAACTAAATGCCCAAACATTTAATACTATGAAATTTAGACATCATAACTAGATATTGAAAAATAACATTCAATAAAATACAGAACACTCTCGACAAGGCACGTTCTTACAAGTATGTTTTTACATGTTGGTGTAACCGTATATGACACGTACATGAGGGCCTCCGCCTCATGTAAATGCAAACACAGATTATATATTTTTAATCTCTCTTGTTAGCTGATTAAGAAGCTGTAGATGATAGGCTCATCCATAGACAACTACTTGAGCTAGCGCTTTCCAAAACATTGAGCAATTGCATAAGTATCAAGCACATGTGAGTATATTGCAATAATAAATAAAGGTTTTCCACAGATGCTACCAACTAAATATACACAATTAATAGGAAACATAGCAGAATGAATAGTACATAATAATTTCTTACTTTGTTGAAGAGAAAACACCATCTAGGGCTTTCTTATCTCGGAGATCAATCTGCAGAAGCATGCACGTATGTTAGGAATCAAGTCCATCCAAATATCTCAAACACTTATACCAAAATCTAAGAAAACATATAAAAGAAATCTCAAAAACGCATTGATCAGTGAATTTCATAGGAAAAAATACTACATAAATGGTAACTAAAATCAAATTTTTCCAAGAGTTCTATTCTAAACCATGTTACATATAAACGACAACAAACATGCAATAAGGACATACATAATCATGCAGGCTCCAGGTCTCTATTAAAACATTAGAGAAGTTTAAAAGATAAATAGCAGCATAAAAGAACGTTAACTGCCAGTGGCATAAGCCACCAAAAAAACAAAGGCGACAAGAACATTTTTAACCCATGAGTCCTTGCTTTAGAATTACCAGAATCATTAAGTACTTGATAGCATGAAAAGAGTGGCATTCAAACCATGTAAAACATCAGATCAAATATACATGAGTAACATATGAAACAGGAATGAGTAAAGGTCCACTGAAAATGTAACTGACTGAAAAGTGTAACAAGGAAAGGAAGCATAAAGCTTCATAGATGGAGGGCAAGAAGCTTTTACTACCTTTAGAACAAACAAGTAAATTAACTCATCTTTCAATTTTTGTTATCACACCATGGGATGTTCATAATAAGCAACCCTTCAGAGTAAGCTTGAAAAAGTTTCTTGCAGAGCAACTTTACAGGGAAAACTGGGACACCTAATGTATACCTAGACCACTCCAAGCTATTTGTGTAATACCAGATATCAGGTAATAAAAATAAAGAAGCCTTTATTGCTTAAAAATTTGATCTCTCTTGAATTTGTCCTGTTCCTGCACATCGATTTTGACCACTATGGCTCAATTGTCTATTGCACACGACCTATTAAGGAACAAGTGAATCAAACCACCTCTCAAATAGTTGCTGACTTGCTGGTCACAATTCCTTTAAATACTGTATATGTGCACCTCTTAATGTTGCTTTAAGAAATAAATCCCACAGTAACCCATTGGTCAGACTTTACATTCATTATTGTAAGGATCATCAACCAATATACTCCATTTTCTAAAGAAATAAATGGGATCAAATCGATTATGTATACAGGATTATCTCCAAAAATAGAGGTTCCCCCTTCAGGGACATTGGACCTCTTCTTAGTTGTCGCGTGCTCATATTGTCTCTTCTGTTACTTCTTTCCCACGGTTAGTTTTTGTACAGAGTTCTCCTAATGCTCTACAAAACAAATTATAAATTCTGATGGGTTCTTATAAGACAAGATGCAAAATTTCACCTGGAAACTTGAACAATAAAATCATTTTAGTGAAAATAAAATAAAATCTACGTCTCAATGAAACCAAAAAATTCTATACTGATTCTGCAACTTTGGGTAAAACAATTTCAAATCGTAAGCGTTCCCCAAACCAAGTCCAACATCCATACATATACGAACTAGAATATAATACCCAAAGGAGCAAGATTTAGTATCCAATTGAAATATAACCAACAAGAATTAAGGCACTACAATGAATAAGAGGGAAGATAGAATAAACTGCAACAAGGTCACCTATTTCAACTCTTTATCTTTGAAAAATTTCTACCTTTAAAATTACAATTAAAAAAACATAATTAATATGAAAAATAAAAATCTAATATACGGTAAACAATTACCAGACCCGCCATATAAGTATAAAACCCAAATTACTACATCCTTAATGAAATCACGCCCATAATTAAATATAAAACAACATTTTTCTCCCAAAAATTACAAGTATCCAATCAGAAGAATTTCCAATTTCAGAAATGAAAGCCCACCCCAATTGCCCTACGAAATCAATCAAAACCCTAAATTCAACGCAACAAACCAAAATTCAACCCTAAAACCATCAAAGTAGCCCCAAAACAATCCGAAACAGAGAGCAACATCACCAACAGATCCAAAAAAAAAACCCAAATAATTCTCAAAGCATCACCTTGTGAAACGTGAGGTTCTTCCCTTTGGCCCCAGCGAGCTCGGTGACCCTCTTGATGGCGATCTCCGACGAATTATCGAGATTATCAACGACGGATACCATGAAACCAGCGTTCAAGAGCTGGAGCACGGTGTGGCTCCCAATGTACCCGGCCCCACCAGTCACCAGAATGTTCGACGACGACGACGCCATTAGAGTCTAGATTCAGAATTTCGATCGAAATCTGAACCCTAGAGAGAGAAGAATTCGATCGGAATCGAGAGAGAGAGAGAGATAAAAGAGGGGCGTTTTGTTAGAGAGAAAGAGGGAATGTACCGCGTGAGAATAGGAGGGGGGGTTATTTATAATTATTTT